GTGGGGCAGGGCTGGGCGCGCACCGGGGCCGGCGGCGGCGGATGGGAGGAGGACCGGGGGAGGAGGCTCGGGGGAAGAGGAGGAGGAGGCGCCGGAGCCGCCCCAGCCCGCGCCGCCAAGTTGAGCAAGTTGGTCGCCGCTGCCCCCTCTGGCGGGCGGCGGCTGCCCCGCAAGGGCCGAGCCCCTCCTCCGCCGCCAAGGTCAAAGCGGGGTTCGGGGTCGGCCGGGGTCCCCCCGGACCCGCCCTGTCCACCCTCGCTCGTCTCGGGCCGCGCCTCTTCCCGGGGAAACTCGAGTCCCGAATTTCCTCGGAACGCGCCCTGGCGGCCTCGGCCAACGGATGTGACGAGGCTCATCTGATACCAGGGGGAAAGTTTCGGGAACCCTTAAAGGGGCAGCGAAGGACTGAACTGGCCCATCGTCCCGCAGCGGCGGGGACTGCCAGCAGTGACTTGGGGGTCAGAGAGGAGAGGAGAGAATCGTAAAAGAGCTGTGAGCATCTGGAGGAGTCAGCGAGTCTGTGCCTCCCGTCGCCAAGTACATCCCTACCTCACTTCAGCGCGCCCGGGTCTGGCTGCTTCTCGGGGCATTTCCCGTGCGCTGCCAGCCCCCGCCCGCCCCCATTCCTGCCCATTCCCCCTTCCTCATTCCCACTTCCACCCCTGAGTGGTTTTGAAGAGGTCTGAGTGGAGGTTGGGAGGGTTAAGGGTTGGGGGAGGCAGGTGAGAGCTTTGGGGACTTTTCACTAGAAATCCTGGGCGGGGTGGGGGCGGGAGGGGGATGTGTTGGCTGCTGTTGCAGCCTGCCTGAGCCCACCGTTTCCCGCTGAGGAGGTGGCGTCTGCAGTGGACTCTGAGCCTGGGCTTCTCCGCCCCACGCTGGTCCGTATTGCAGATACGATGCTGCTGGGAGCTGCCCCTCACCTCACCCAGGACTCCTTCAGTCTACCTGGCAAGTTGGTGTTAGGATGCAGAATCAGGGCCGCCAAGTCTGCACCGCTGCCCTCCATCCCTCCCCTTCCTCCCCCTGCCGGCTCCTGGAGGATTATCTAATTAATACTTGTTTAGCCCTAGACACCAAGACCTCAGAAATGCGTTCAGTAATGCAAGCAATGAGGGTTATTTTATTTCAGGTACTAAACGCAGGGGGGACAATTATACACCTCAAGTCCATCGATTTCCACTGAAACACGGAGTAGAAAAATCTGTCTACCTCCTCCAGCTGAATTATGTTGACTGTTTTAAAAAACATGCAAGCCCATCTTCAAACAATGGGGAGGTCGGTGCAAAGCTTGGCTCCTCTGTGCAATTTCCAGCTATCTGTACTCAAGATTTGATTTTTATTTCTGTCTTCTCAATTTTAGAATCAGGTCTAGCTCTGCAAGGGACCCTTTTGTCAGAGATCTTCAGCTGTATCGATTTTTTGATGACTTTAACTATAAATCACATTTTCCCCAAACTATGTCCCAACTTTAACAAATCCTCAGGCGCACAAAGAAAGCCAAGCTGGATCCTGTGGTATAATCTAAATTGATATTCCCCATAAATCTGCATAGTTATTCCAGAGCTATTACATTCCTATATTCACACTCAAATTCAAGGTTGTAGAGGAAGTGTAATTTTTAAAAAATGATTATTTATACTCCTCAATGTCCAGTCTTGAGGGGTTCAAAAAGACATTCAGACAGCTCCCAGAAGAATGTAACCTTGTAAAAAGCATACAGAATTTATTAAGGACATTGACATAGGGGCTACGTGACTTATAAGTTCAACATTAAAGATGTTTGCTCTCTCTAATAATTAAAAACCACAAGGGAAATTTTAAAAAGTCAAGTCTAATGAAAGTTTGTCCTTCATGAAACTCCTAACTCCATCTAGTTGGAGCATTTATGAGCTTTTCATTTTAAGAGGGCTAGTTTAAGTTTGTGGGTAAACAGATGAATTAAGATCTAGTTGCAGAGGAGCTTGTGCAGTTTTAGTGGATGGCAGAGCTGTCTCATCAGAAAATAATGCAGGCTGAAGTGACAGCATCTGACTGTCCCCTTGGTTGTCTCTATTTTTATGAATGGTTTTAGAGTGCTTGATCCCTACTCAGAGCTATGGTGCTGGCTGGATTTGGGAAACAATAGTTTTACCTTCCCGGTGTTTTAATTGAAATCATATGTGGCCATCCTCTGATGGGGTAGCATCGTTTTTCTTTTATATCATCCTTAAAGAACTTCTTCAAGAAAGAAGCCACTTCCCCTGGTATTGGTGAGCAATGCAGATGGGGAGGGAGGAGAAGGTGAACCCCTCGCTTGCCGATAGCACCCCCACATTCTCTTCAGACTGGCCCTTTCTCACTCACTGCACCCATAGCTTCCACCCTTCCTTCTCTCCGCCTTCCTCTTCCTCCTGCTCCCTCCAGCCTCAGTGAGAGCCTCCATTTTCAGCCCACACTTCCTTGGTCCACTCAGGGAAACCACACCCTACAGTGAGATGGGCCCTGCTTCCTTGGAAAGAGCAGACATCATCATTAGCAGTTCCTGGACAGTAGAAGGTAAGGAAGGGTCTCACCCTCCAGCCCAAGAAGATAACCAGGGATTCCTTCCAGGAATACGTGGTACTTGGCCAGAAAGATTGTCATCAGTGTTGACTGGCTCTTGCTGCTAGCTCTGAGTTCCTTTTACATGAATAGTTTGCAAACTTTTTGGTCTCAGGACCCCTTTACACTCTTAAACACTGGGGACCTCCAAGAGCTTTTATTTATGTGAATCATATCAATCAATAGTTACCAAATTAGGAAATAAAACTGAGAAATTTTAACAATATGTAATAACTTATTTAAAAATGACAATAATAAACCCATTACACAGCAACACAAATAACATTTTAATGAAAACTATAATTTTCAAAAAAATTAGTGAGAAGAATGATGTTATTTTACATTTTTGCAGATCTCTATCTGGCTTAATAGAAGGCAGCTGAATTCTCTCTCTGCCTCTGCATTCAGTCTGTCAGGAAGCCCCTGGAAAATTCTACCCAACACGCAGGAGAGAATGACTGTGAAAAAGGCAAATAACATTCTAGAATTATCATAAAAATTGTTTTAAGCTAAAAGACCCCCGAAAGGGTCAGACCACCATCTTTCTTTGGTTTCTATATTTGCGTCTTAAGTCATTTTCAACATATAAGGAGTCTTGCGTATCAGGCACTGTGTCATCAACTGGGAGGAAAAGGCGAAATAGGAGATGGTCCTTAGCTTTGCAGACTAGGTCAAAGAGCGCCTTTCTTTGTCTATCGAAGCACCTCCCAGACTTCGCAAGAGGAAGACACCAGCCACTTGCAGCCCAGTGGAAGCTTTTCAACCCGTCTCTTCATTCTCTGGTAGCTTCATTTTCTGCCTGCCCCCTGGCTCCTTCTCAGCAACTTATAAACAGGCTTTAAGCTCCCACTTCTCTCTCTCTATTTTAAAACCTGTCTTTTTTTTTTTTAATTATTTATTTATTTATTTATTTTTTCCCCCAAAGCCCCAGTAGATAGTTGTATGTCATAGTTGCACAGCCTTCCAGTTGCTGTATGTCGGACACGGCCCCAGCACGGTCGGAGAAGGGGTGCATCGGTGCATGCCCGGGATCCGAACCCGGGCCGCCAGCAGCAGAGTGTGAGCACCTAACTGCTAAGCCACAGGGCCGGCCCATCTATTTTAAAACCTGTCTTGATCCTACCCTGCTGCAGGTTTCTGCCCCAAGTCTCCCTCCCCTTATAGCCTCACTTCTTTTGTTTTGTTTTTTTTTTTTTTTTTTGTGAGGAAGATCAGCGCTGAGCTAATGTCCATGCCAATCCTCCTCTTTTTTTGCTGAGGAAGATTGGCCCTGGCCTAACATCTGTGCCTATCTTCCTCCACTTTATGTGGGACGCCGCCACAGCATGGCTTGACAAGTGGTGCCTCAGTGCATGCCCGGGATCCGAACCCCGGACCGCCAGCAGCGGAGTGCGCTCATTTAACCGCTGCGCCACAGGGCCGACCCCAACCTCACTTCTTGAAAGTGCTGCCCGCTCCCCTTATCTCAATTTCCTGCTCCTTGACTCACTCCTCACCTTACAAAGCTCCACTCAGGAATTGACAGGCCATGTAGACATTTCTCCATCTGTATCCTTACCCACCCCCCTTGGCGCATTCGACACTGGTTTCTCAGCTCTAAAGAGTTACTGGATCTGGGCATTGAGCATACACAGCTGCTAACATCACACACAAAAACAGAGAGACTACCCAGTGTTCTGTGCCTCCTGATGGAAGTCCACAATAATGCCTGTGCAATGTTCTTGCCAAAAAATCAAACCTGAATCTGACTAAGCCTCTACATCACGGGTGGGCAAACCACATCCTGGGGGCCAAATCGGGCCTGCTGCCTGTTTTTGTAAATAAGGCTTTATTGAAACACAGCCACGCCCATTTGCTTAAGTAGTTACAACAGAGAATATATGGCCCTCAAAACATAAAATATTTGCTGTCCAACCCTTTACAGAGAGTTTGTCAACTCCTGCTCTAAATCAAAAGAGTCCCAAGACCCTTATCAGTCAATTACAATATAGAGACCTTATTTGGATCCTAATTTGAACAAAATGAAAAAATTACTTATGAGACAATTAGAGAAATTTCAACACTGGTTGGATGATGTTATGGAATTATTGGTGCTATTTTTAGATATAATAATGGTATGGAATGTGTGTGTGTAAGAGTTCTTATCTAGTGGAGACATGTGTTGTAATGTTTATAA